CTCAAGAAAATTCACCTGCCTTGGCCTGGGCAACCTGGCAGTACTCAGCCCACAAGCCAATCATGGAACATTCTCTTTTTTATAAAGATTACTGCACCATGATTCGCTTGGCACAGTCTGACTTCAGACAAGTGTGAAATAAACATAAATAAAAACTCAACCTGCGACAGGGGAACCACGTTGAAGAGATTAACAAGCGAGAGCTGAGTGTCAGATTGTTAGTGGAAGCCCAACCTTCCCTATGAACTCTCGCAGTTTGCATTTGAAATGGGTCCCAATCAGCCGCCATCGTGAGAACGTATCGGCATTTTCTGATTATACTGGTTGCGTGGCTGTCAGGGCAACGGACCTAGTACGATGATCTGACTCGTGCATTTGCCCCATCGCGACCCACGTAACCGCCATTACGGACAAATGCCTAGACGGTGACCAACCACATGAATNAATACCAAACTTTTCTTTCTTACTCGTTCAACGTTTTGGCTGGCACTACCAATGAAGGCTCGCACCGTTTGAAACTGTCGTTTAACTGGGAGCGTTGCGATAAGCATCGTGAGACCAGGCTCGGTGATAGTTTGAAGGTAAACAACATCGATAAAGAACGAAACTGGCGGAATAACCCAAGGGAACATGACAGCCACATAATCATAGCATATAGCTTATGGTAGTCATGAATACCGTTAAGTGGTGGTAGTGTCGTAGTTTAGCCGTTGTTAATGACGCTCTTTGGGCCTTATAATCCGAGATCCGAAACCCACCACTTCCACCTAACTTTGGCAGCAGGCAGCTTTGTTGTCGTCCTGTTCACTAACACAATTTAGCAAGACCTCGTATAATTTGCCAATTCAAGTATCGGGGTTTAGGTTGCTAATGTACGTCAATGAACAGGTTTTTGCTACTACATAGTTCACCCTGTCTGTTAATCATCGCATGGTGTGTGTATTAAACAAATTAGCTCCGAGTGCCGATGTGGATCAACACAGAGGCCTTCCAGAAATGAGATGCACTCAGAAACAATGAAGCCAATAGGATGACACTTACTTTGGCCACTGAGTAATTTGGCCCCTGATGTTTCGTTTGACAGGACTGTTCACATTCAACTTAGTTGACGTCTCTGGGGAAATTGAGTTCAAGTTGGACGTTTCAAAGCCAGGAGGTAAAGGTAACTCCGAGATAGATGGCTTTTTCGATAATTCTTGGCTGAAGAAATATATTGGATCATTCGAAAATCTTACCTTTGCTTGGTATTGATTGGAATATAATCGGTAGTGGGAAGCGATACACTGGTTGAAGGCAGTTGGGGACGCGGGCGTGGAGACGCATACGCCTTTTGTTCGGATGATTCTGTATTGTGTATTGCTTGCATATTTAACTGCTTTGGCGATCGAGTTCCAGTTGCCACAGGTTTCGCCTCAGATTGCTTGCTTGATGCTGGTTCCGGTGGTAGAGCAATCTCTTCTAAGGGTACGGCGGAATGCGCGATTTGTGGGGGGTTGGACGCTTCTGTAACGGGAGGTAAGGGAACATCATCCAAAGGACAGGATCGCGGAATAGGTTTTTCTTTTGTTTCTGGCTTTTTTCTGCTTTTCATAAGCTTCTCTCTGAAGTTTTGGTGTTTGGTTAACTCCGACATGAGACTGGTTCGGTATTTTAATGTGTTGATGTCCGTACATTCAGGTGAATCATGTCGCTTATCGTGGCGTGACTTCCGATCTTTGCTGTGACTCCGTGAATGCTTCTTGTGTTTCTTTTTTCTACAGAACTCTGAATTAAGGAAGTCGTATTCAAATACCTTTTGACTTCTTCTTTAACATGGAACTCTTCCGAGGACCAGTCATCCAGATGGTGGCGTTTACGACTTGGTCGATCTTCTTCATGATTAGAAGAATATTCTTTATGACTTTTGTGGTGCCTTCCAATCTTGACATGCCCTGATTCCCGTGGGTCGCAACAATCGGCGCAGGGGTCCGCTTCATAGGTATAATGACGGCTGGGAATCCTGAGGAGTAAAGTTGGAATGAAATAATTTACCGTTCGTCGTCATAAGTAGGATAACGACTAGAACGAGACCTAATGATGCGTATATTGATGAATTACAACGGGGACTCACATCGCACAGCACTGATAGACAGTGCATCAGTCTACAACTGTTCGGTGAAACACCAACACGTACAGCGGTACCGTCGGCCTTGAGAATCAGTTATTTTTTCAGTTCAGGTCATGTCAGTTCAGTTCAGTTCAGTTCAGTTGCACAGGACGAATATGGCTCTTGCCAATCGA